AATGCGACTTGCAAAAGAACCTATATTTCGGCAATCTTCCGCCAATCTTGGCATACGCTTTACATTCTCGATTTCGGCTAGAATGAGCATCTCAACCCTACCGAATCTTCTTTCGAGAGCGTTCATTATTTCTTCAGGTTCACACAAAGTAAACAACAATGACTTTACCGCTTCCTTAGCGGTGCCCTTTAATGCCCTCCTAAGGCGTGCGACATTCTGCACCCTGAAAATTGGCTTCTTGTGTCTTCAAACACCATTTTGAAAATTATCCATTCACCCGGGTCTCCATCGAAGACCGGTAATTCCTGGAGGAAATGAAGCTGGGAAGACTTATCTTTACTCGCTATCTTTATTGCACTCACAATCGCTTCGGTCAATTCTGATACCTCACACGCGTGTGCTTTCTGTGCATTTCCTAGGTTGCGCTCGACCTACGCCCCTTTGCGGCGTGATCCCTTACACGCTCCCTTATCAGTAATGTCGGGTTACGTTACACTAACCGGCGCGCTCATTATGGTCTGTTGAACCCAACTCCTTACGAAAGGTTCCACCTGAGTATTCCGCTCTTCATCATCCTCGTTCGAGCTCTGAGTGTTCGAATTTAATCCGCGCCTCTAATTCGGCTTTCAGCCTCGCCGATCGCGGTGACCTCTCTCTGACCCTTTGTCACTAGTGTGCCCGATTACTGTTCTTAACGATTCCGCTTCTTCGGTCCCTTGACCTACTTTTTCGACTATCGTTTCACTCCTGGATATAACGGATTTCTGTGCGGTGCTGGTCTGCGTACCACTGGTGTCCGTCCTGTTGCTTGTCGTTGCCACGGACGCCCCTGAGTCCCACGTGCATGTGGACGTATCGGTGGTGGCTCCACTTGAAGGAGTTGCCCCACTCGAAGCAGTAGCTGTGGTCGCTCCAGATGATCCCACCTCTTTAGCCTTTCTTGAGAGCCCTGTTCTTGTCCTGGTTCCTTCGCTCCTCTCTGTCTGGTCTTGTGCCTTCTTCATCTTGCAGGAAAGTGATTGTTGGCCTACGGTCCCTAACTGTCCCTACGGTCCCTACGACCCCTTACCTACAACCCTTCTACACCCCAACCTAACCCCACTACCCCTCCCCCCCTTTATCTCCCAACCCTACAAACCTACTACCACCCTAACAGCCCTATCAGTCCTATCAATCCTGGACGGGGGCCTACAGTGGTGAGCCGTCCAGGGATGGAGTTGTGCAGGAATGGAATAGAGGAAAGGTTTAGGAACTGTCCCGCCAAGGAATATGGCGAAACAGTCGAGCCAGTAGTGCAAGCGCAGTACCTCGCTCGAGAGATCTGCTCCACCCGAAGGTGTTGTGCCAGAGCCCGACCGGTTTGGCACCGTTAGGGGGTCGGGATGTATGCTTTGCTCGCCGCCCAGTCGCCGGTGACGCCTCTTCCAGGCGCTCTCCTTCGGCCGCGATGCAGTCAGGTGCCCACACGAGCACCCTCGCCTGGCAGCAGCAGCGGTGGATGCTTCTTCTTCTTTCTTGCACCCTTGCCTGATGACCCGACAGGAAATGCCGGACACGGTCGTCCGACAGGAAATTATAGTATTCCAGGTCCGGTCCTGCCTAAGCCCTGATGGGCCTACAGCGCTGGCCTGGTCTTCTTGCCTTTGGTCCTGTTGCTTCAGCTCAAACCTCCGGCTTCCTTCGGTCGCTGATCTTCACTCGGCTCCGAAGGTCCACTTGAATGGTATCCAGCAGTTCACAGCTGGTTCCTTAAATCCCGCTTCGAAGGACCAATTGAAAAGGAACCAGAGAAGGAGGGAGGTCGCTTGTTCCGGCTGGTTCAGCAGCGGATTTCCTAACTTCCTATGACACCTACGTTGGGTTCGGGAACAACGTATGTGAACCCCGCAACGGAGTAACAGACAAGGGCGTCGACCTCTTCCTTTTCTTCAAATAGGTTCAGGCGGGGATTACGGGTCTTCCGAAGTCGTCCCGGTCCCAACGCCTTAATTCTTCAATATGTGCCGCAATAGCGACACCAGTGGACTGTATTTTACTTTTTGAAGGTGAAGGATTCCTTGGGAATAAAACAGTAATTATCTTCAAACCGTTCCGTGAGAGAGTAATTACTTTCCCTATCACTTCCCTATACACTTTTTCTTTCTTGATTATTATATATACTGCTGGTCCCGAACGATTTGTAAGAAAACTCGTTTACTGAGCTACCACAAAACTATACGCGAAAGAGAGCCGCGTTAATTACATCAATTTGTACTATCACTCTCTCACGGTTTGCCCAATATCTTTATTTGTATAAGACATACATTTATACATTTTATTTATAAAGATAGCACAAAAAATATCTATACTATGATATACGAGTACATTACATTTTTATATCACAAAAAACCTTTTATTTATTCAACAAAATATGCCCATTTTACAACATATGCACCAAGTTAGAATTCTTAAATATCCAACATATAAGGTTGAAACAATGTTCTTCACTTGAAATTATAAATATCTTAACTAATACAATAGTTTAATTTACATTTTTCCTATACATTTTACTATTAAAAACACTTTTAAATTTCTTACACAAAACTATCAGTATTTCACTAATCCAAAGGAATTTTCACATGAAAATAACACAGAATTCACCTATTTTGTTCATACAGTCAATCTAGAATATTTTACAAGTCAATTTTACATAAATTGCTGAAATTTGCAAATATTTAAATTTCTACTTATTTTGACCTCCCAAGTTAACGCGCGGCTATGAACTCACGCTATTTGAACAACTAATTCTCACACGACTTTCAATTGTTGGCAAAAATGGCAAATTTAGCACACACGGCTATCAACCAATACTAGGTGAACAACTGATTCTTCACGACTCTCAAAGGTCGGAGATTATTTCCAACCAGATTCTTATCAGTTATCATGTCTCTTATCAGATAACATAGACAAAACATTTTATGAATCAAACATGAAAACAAACATTTTGTTTTCATACAAAACGTATCAAACTCATATAAGATAATACTTATGCAATTAATTTCCATTAATTCTATTTATTCACAAAGTGATCATTTCGACCGGGGAACAAATCCTGGTCTCTAACTTTATTTTAATATTCCTTTAAATTAACAATACTATTGGAAAGGTGATTTCAACCGGGGAACTGAACCCGGAAACATAATTTATATCTTAAAAATTCCCTATATGAATTTATTAAGAAAATATTAATAAGAAAACGACAAACTAGTCCGGCCTGGGAATCAAACCCAAGACCTTCAAACTATTAATTCGATATTTCTTTAAGATTCAACTAAGTGTTTTTTTATTAGAATATTATTGCTCGATAATTTGTTTTTAGAAGCTGTTCGTAATCGGTTAACCAATAAATTGAAATATTCTTATAGACGTGTCGCCAACAATAACTATAAACATTATTTCAGTATTGTACTTTTTGCTTTAGTAGATGCTGATTACAATTTTTTGTACGCTAATGTGGGATGTTAGGGTCGGATTTCAGACGGCGGTGTCGGATGTTAATGAATGATAATGCTTTGAATTTACCAGATAAAAATCCTTTACCCAGACGGATTCTTTTTTTTTTGGTGATGACGCTTTTCCATTGCAAACCCATATTATGAAAGCTTATGATGGGAATCACACGAAAGGCTCCCTCAAGGGGATTTTTAACTATCGTGTATGTCGAGGGAGAAGGGTAGTTGAAAATGTGTTTGGGCAGTTAGCAAATAAATTTCAGATTTTCCATAAACCTATTGAACTAATCCCAGAAAAAACTAAAAGCTCTTAATATTGGCGTGTATACATTTGTTCAATTATATAAAACAAACCGGTGCACTACCACAAAATGAATACGATAATGAAAATTATGAAGGAGAAGTCATTCCAGGTGAGTGGCGATGGAATGCACATGAAAGTTGTTTAGTTAACATCCCCAGAGAAGACAATAATATTACTTCAGGCCCAGATGCAATATTCACCACCGAGGATACAAGAATAGAGTTGACTCATTATTTTCTTTCTGATGTCGGTACATTAGAATGGCAATATAACCGATAAACGCCCCATAGTAGACTAAAGCAAAACTCATAACGTAATATTGATTTATTTTTTAATATTTGTATAAACAGTGCCCAATAAGTCTCTTGACGAGATACATTTTCACTTTAATTTGAACAATAAAGCTTTTATCAAAGTAAGAAATGTGTTCTTATTATAAATCAATTAGTAGCAAACTTTTTTATTCCTCAATTTTTAAACTGTATAGTGATAAGAAATCAGTATCGCTTATATGAATAAAATGATATAAAACACAAAAAAATGCCACGTGTTCAGAATTTATGCACCGTTTATTAGAGTGGTACCACAGACACTTAATTATAAGTAGTGATACTATAATTTAGATAAAAAATACAAAAACATCATTTACTTGAAATGATACAATTATCTTGAAGTACTTTAATACACGCATACATAACACTATAATTGACAATCACACGTATTATACATTCTTAGCAAAGAAATAGTAATAGCATAAATTCTGAACACATGGCAAATTTTTCTTTTAGTGTTTTATGTAATTTATTCAATAAGCGATGCAGATTCCGATATAAAGATACAAACAAAAGAAATTGAGAGAAAAAAGGCAATTTCATTCTTAAATATCTATGGATTTAAGGATGTTAAAATATTTTCAATATCCTGGGTACTATTACGAGTTAGAGGTGAGATTTCTTCCTCAAATGTTTATGGAGGTGAAACTGTCTCGTGGGATTGGGCGGAGTATACGGATGTTGAGTAGTTTGTAGGTGCAGCCGAATAGTATCCCGGATGACTGTGTGTTGACGATGGTCTTGAAGCCGAATAGTATCCCGGATGACTGTGTTTTGACGATGGTCTTGTAAAATCCGAAAACATATCGGCTCGAATGCCAGTTTCGGCTTCAAATATTATATTATTGATCCGATTTCTTACAATAGCTTTCGTTAATCTCCAAACAAACCATCCTCATCTTTTTCTAGTATCTTTGAGGCATTTTGTCGTTCGGAGATATTCTTCATAATATTCAGTGCTTCGGACACCATCTCATCTTTTTGATTAATTCTAGGACGTTTATTTGGTCTTGGCAAGTCTGATAGATTCTGTTGATTGTGATAAATTATTTTCTGTTGATTGTGAATCTGACTCCTGTTGTGAATGGTGTTCCGCCGGCTTATCCTGGATGAGCAGATAATTTATCATTTATATTATATTATTAAGCTTTTAGTTAGCATATAACAAAATATCGCATGAAAGAGTACACAATTAGGATTGATATGTAATCCTTTTATATATTCTATTATAAATAAGTGAGGTAAGTATAAGTATATATGTATGCGGGTGTTTATTGTGTATGTGTAGTAGTTGAAATTTGTTTTTTGACAATTGGCCTTGCTTAGTAAATAATTACAATGAAAATTCTTTGTTCAGAAATCAAGGTTAATTACCAAAAAAAATATTCAAATTAAAAAGGTAAAAGTGTGAAATACAGGTGGAATTGAATTCACGATTGCTCAGTGATCAGTGCAGTGAATGTGTCACCCAAAGGTAGTAGGTTCGAATCTCGCTATTAATTATTATTACTATTTTCAGCTTTTAATTAAGAAATTATATTACTTAGGTATAATATTTACAGTATCAATTGTTCCAGTAGGCACATTTTTATTGCGCAGAAAATGTAATGGTTTGTAGGCAAACCATTTACTTTCATATATTTCCTCGGTACCCGCTCCGGATTTATTCGAACTGTCACATTTTTTTTCGCGGTAATAGTGACTAGTTAATTTTTTTTATTTTTACTGTAGTAGAAATACTTCAGTAACAGATGTAGACAATTCAGTCGCAATGTCATTAAATGCGTCGAAGCGTTTTGGCCGCAATTAATAGTCACTGTGTTTTGGATCCCATAATAATTGTTTTGAACTCTTCCCATTCCATATTGTTTTAGTTGATAAAAAAAACAGTCACGCACGTCACTACTCCTCGAAAGTCGGCGGGCAACTGAGCGGTAGACATGTGTCAATCGTGCATGATTCGTTCGTTTGAGCTGGTACACTTAAAAGTATTGATGGTTCATTCATTTGTTTTTGAATGTACCGTTTTACGTTTTTAACCCGCGATTTGTTTGAATTGTGAATGAGCCGCAAACCGACCGAATCCCGAATGATCTGAATAAACAGGCGAATTGAATTAACAGTGCAGACTGCAGAGCATGGAGTAGAGTAGAGCAATATATACACAAAACACCATTACTCCTAGCGGAGAATATATACGGAAACTGCAGAGTAACAGGAGTATTTATTATTTAAGGGTTTTTTATTATAATATTGTTACCTAAATTAAAAACTATTTTACGTTTTCTTATATTTATTTGTTAAATCTATGAGTTAAAAATATAATTCCTTAGAGTTTACTAAAAATAACACTTCAAAACATTTCATGATAAATGATTTATTTAAAGATAATTTTCAACCATCTTATACTCGTATAAGTTAGGTAAAAGTTTAATTTCGTAGCAAATAAATGTTACAGTCCCTATTTTTAGACATGTAAAGTAAGATGAAATTGTGTATTGTTAGATTATTAGGAATGAAATTTAAGAATAAACAAATTTATTAAGTACTTAAAATATATGATAACTTGAGGTTTTTGTGTTTATTTCATCTAGCGTCGATTGTTCTTACCACCTTGAAAGTTAATAAGTTTTAGTTCGATAAAATGACTTTATTACCTATAACATGTAGTAGATGGCGCTGTTACAAATCTCAAATAGAAAATTTTCGGTTTCCAATGGATCTCACAGATTCACAGAGTACTGGAGCCTGAAATGATCCATTTGAATGATCGATCCGAATGTACCAGTACGCATGACGAAATGTACTAGAATGATTCGGTCGCTAGTAATGAGTGATTTACACATGTCTACTGAGCGGGGAGCGCCGGGCGTGCCGTGCGCGGGCGCATGCCGCCGGGCCAGCGGCTTTGGTCGTTTCATAATCAGGCCGCCGGCCTTGTCCGCCGGGTTCGTGATGCCGGGCCGGCGACGTTGGTGTGTAGACAGCATTCGAGAGTTCTGATGCACCAAGTAACGCGAGCCGTTTTTTGCTCCTCACAGAGCGAATGCTGTATCCATCGGGAAAACATGGTTCATGCAAGATTATTTGTATTTGACTCAAGCCAATGTCTAAAGTTGCCTGAATTTCGCGGTATGTCACATGTCGATCTTCCTCAATCAGCTTACGCACAGCATCAACGTTTTCTTGGGTGACTGCAGTTTTTGGACGACCTTGACGGGGATCATTACTGAGCTTGACACGTCCACGTTAAAATTCAGTAAACCAGCGATAAATTGTAGTTTTGGATGGGGCTTCATCACCAAATGCAGAAATCATCCTGTCAACACAATGTTTTTGTGTTAAACCACTTCGAAAGTCATAATAAATCATCGCTCTTGAATTTCCTCGAGTCAATTTCATTTTCTCAACGACTAAACAAGTTTGACAAAACCTTGTGACAAGACCGAGAATCTTTTTTTAAATAAATAAATGGTATTCGATTTTTAAAACCAAGGAGTTTTCAATTAAAAAAAATTTAATATGACAGGAACAGTGGAAATATTCCATTCCCGATACTTTTAGTGCAGCCTAGGTATCGCTAGGAATCTTAGACATAATCGTGAGGGATAGTTTCGTCCTTTATAAAACTCAACCGCCGTTTTTTCACTCTGCCATTTCGGTAAAAGCTTAAAACAAATAGAATTCGTAAAATTTATCAATACTGTAAATGTGTAAATAAGTAATAATGTATGTAAATAAGTAAATGAATCTCGTAAAAAGAATTGAACCCAAAACACATTTCAACTTATTAGTTTAAAGGTGTTTTGTTTCAAATTTTTTTATTCAGTTTTGCATATTACGAGGGCGGCACTGAAAATTTCGGGAATCAAGGAAGTGACACAACAATACAATTTAAAAATGTATTTATTGCTTTTCGAAGTATTCTCCGCGAAATTTGACACATTTTTCCATACGATGGAACCAATCATTAAAGCAACCATTCCATTCGGAAGTTGGGGTCTCCAAAATGGCCGTTTTGTAGACGTCCACAGCTTCTTCAAGTGATGAAAATCTCTGTCCACGCAATTTATTCTTTATTTTAGGGAAAGTATAGAAATCATTAGGGCTTAGGTCGCGGCTGTACTGCGGATGGTCTAATAATTCTATGTTTTCTTGCTCTAAAAACTCTTTTGTTCTGTGTGCGGTGGGAGAACTCGCATTGTCGTGATGGAGGATCATGCGGCGGTTGCAGTTCTCTTTACGGAGTTCAGAAACGACCTGTGGCAAACAAATGCTAGCATACCATTCTGCATTAACCGTTCTTTGTCCCTCAAGAGGAATAATCTTATCATGGTCGGTTTTGGAGACAAACGTGGCCACCATTTTTTTTGCAACACTCCGTGAACGAACAATTTTTGTTGGCTTTAACTCATTTTCGAACACCCAAACTCGTGACTGGTTTTTTGTTTCGAGTTCGTACTCGTATATCCAGGATTCGACACCTGATGCGATGTTGTATTCAGCATTTGAGGATCCTGCGTGGAATCTTTCGAGAGTTCTGACGCAACAAGTAACGCGAGCCGCTTTTTGATCTTCACAGAGCGAATGCGGTATCCATCGGGAAAACATCTTCTTTACACCTAATTGTTCATGCAAGATTATTTGTATTTGACTCATGCCAATGTTTAAAGTTGCCTAAATTTCGCGGTATGTCACATGTCGATCTTCCTCAATCAGCTTACGCACAGCATCAACGTTTTCTTGGGTGACTGCAGTTTTTGGACGACCTTGACGGGGATCATTACTGAGCTTGACACGTCCACGTTGAAATTCAGCAAACCAGCGATAAATTGTGGTTTTGGATGGGGCTTCATCACCAAATGAAAAAATCATCCGGTCAACACACTGTTTTTGTGTTAAACCACTTCGAAAGTCATAATAAATCATCGCTCTTGAATTTTCTCGAGTCAATTCCATTTTCTCAACGACTAAACAAGTTTGACAAAACCTTGTGACAAGACCTGGGGTGGTGTTTTTTTTTTTGGGAGGGGTTTTTAATTTTTTTTTTTTCGAGGGGGGGGGTTTTTTTTTTTAGGGGAGGGGTGTGGGGGGGGGGGTTTTTTTTTTAAGAGAATCTTTTCTTTAAATAAATAAATGGTATTCGATTTTTAAAACCAAAGAGCTTTCAATTGAAAAAGGTTTTAATATGACAGGAACAGTGGAAATATTCCATTACCGATACTTGTATTGCAGCCTCTGTATGCACTTACCATGCAAACATAACACTCTGTACCACATCAAGACTACTCCAGGACCTCCAGTGGCCAGTAAGCCTCGACGCCTGGATCTACTTCGCATGCAAGCTGCGAAGCAGGAGTTCTAAGACCTGCTCGCCAGCGGCATAGCCAGACCGTCGGAAAGCGCTTGGTCTTCTCCCCTGCACATGGTAAGAAAAAAGGATGATAGTTGGAGACCATGTGGAGACTACAGAGCACTGAACAATACAACTATACCTGATCGATGTCCCATCCGTCATATCCACGACTTATCACATTAACTTACAGGCCATTCTATCTTTTCTACCATTGACTTTTTCAAGGCGTGCAATCAGATTGCTGTCAATCCAGATGACATCATGAAAACGGCAATGACGACTCCGTTCGGATTGTACGATTTTCCGTCCATGAACTATGGCTTAATAAACTCAGCACAAACCTTCCAGAGGTTCATTGACGAGGTGTTGCAAGGACTCGATTTCTGCTACGGATAAATAGATGACGTCTTAGTATTTTCGTCATCAATCCAAGAGCACAAGAACCATCTGCGGCAACTCTTCGAACGCCTATAGCAGTACGGCGTAGTGGTAAACACTACCAAGTGTACACTTGGCCAACCAGAAGTCACGTTCTTGGGATACCACGTGGAGCTGCAGGTACTAAACTACTCGAAGTCGAAACTATCAGGCAATACCCCGTTCCAAAAACCGTCAAAGAACTAAGACGTTTCTTAGGCATGCTAAACTTTTACCGTCGCTTTATTCCCAACGCAGCCCAACTTCAAGCACCGCTGAATGACGTTTTCAGTGGCTCAAAAATCAAAGGGTCTTATCCGATAGACATGACTCTGCAATTACTTCGAGCATTCGAAGTTTGTAAGGAATCACTATCTCAAGCAACTCTTCTTGCTCATCCCGACCCAGCTGCAGAACTAGCAATAGTGACAGACGCATCTGAAACTGCCATAGGCGCCGTCCTTCAACAACGGAAAGGTAAGGATTGGCAACCACTTGCTTTCTACTCTCATAAGCTCAGCAATGCACAGAGGAAGTACAGCCCCTACGACAGAGAGCTGTTGGCTGTGTACGAAGCCATCAAGTACTTCCGTCACATGGTTGAGGCTAGAATATTTACAATATTCACCGATAAGCCTCTCACCTTCGATTTCTCAAAAGGAAAAGACAAATGCACTCCTAGACAGTTCAGACACCTCGACTACATTGCTCAGTTTACAACAGACCTGAGATACCTACCTGGTAAGGAAAACTTAGTAGCTGACGCACTTTCTAGAGTCGAGGAGATCACTACAGCTGTGGGCTACGATGATC